GTGAAGATCCTCATAGTATCACTCCACTCCATTTCAAATTTGATCGTTTTAGTGCAAGAGAGTTCAAGATTATCAGCATTTATAAAAGTTCATGTTTGGTAAAAAAAATATCGAAATTAATTTATATCTTCTAAACGGTAATAGATAGGTATAGGGAAAAAGTATATGAATTTGTTGACAAAGTGATAATGAATCATAATATGATATTATATACGGGGTGTTCCATTTGAAAAATCAAAGAAGCCGCTACTTTATAGTGGCGCCGCTTCGTCTGAAATTTTTTATGCGTGTAGGTCATATTGATTTATGCATACTGTGAAATTTTCAGGTTGATCGGTTAAATAGTTTGTCAGAAACGGCTAATTAACGCTCATCATGAAAAGCCCTGTATACAAAAGCAACAAGATTTACACCACTAAGCCAAATAACATTGAACAACAAAGATACGATGTGCCAATTAAATGAATAAAGTAACATGCCGGAAAAACAAAAAGAAAAAATGTTTACATTTACAGACTACCTCTAAATATATAAAGAATTAGGCATACGTTACATGACCGCCGCCAAAGATAGAGATCTCAGCAAAAAGAATCCTGAAAGTGTTCTTCCAGGGTATAGTAGGCCCTCCCAACTATGAGCGTTTTCACAGATTTTCTGAACTTGACTTCGCTTTTGATGACACGCAAGGTTAGGGGAAGGTGATTGAAAATTTTCTTGCCCTCAAAAATTAGAGAGTTGCGAGTACAGGTTGAGGAGGGAATTGGAAGCTAGATAAAGTGAGAGGAGCGAGTGTTATAGGTTGACTCAGAAGTAATTATAGCTTGGTATTTCTTGTGCATGAGGCAAGTCATTTCCAAAATGTAGATACAAACCAATGTCAGAACTCCATGTTGCATAAACAAGGTACGACAGGATTCACGGTAATCAGGACTACATAGGTATCTAATTGCCCTTTTTTGGAGAGAGAATACTCTTTGAAATAAATACTGAGCACAAGCGCCCCAGAAGCAGAATCCATAACGAAGATGCGATTCTATTAGTGCATAGTATACGTTCTTCGCTATTCCCAAATTCAATTCATTAGCAACGACACGAACCGCAAAGCAACCTGAAGCTGATCGATTGCATAGTTTTGTAATATGGTTACCAAACTTCAATTTATTATCAATCAGAAGTCTCAGAAATTTATTATCCGTAGAAATGGAGATTTGTTCCTTGTCCAAATAAACATCATCTAAGTCGCCCTTGAATGTTATGATATTTGTTTTGCTTATATTGGAAGCTAGAAGATTGGAATCACACCAATTCTTAACTTTTTCTATATCTATGCTTATGTGGAAGTTAAGCTCTGAAGAGCTTTTGTTGTGCCAAAGAATCGATGTATCATCTGCAAAAATAGTAATTTCACCATTGATGTCTAAGTTGGTGAGGTCGTTAATGTAAATGAGAAATAGAGTCGGGCCCAAAACTGATCCTTGAGGAATTCCACTCTCAATTACTTGCTTTCCAGACTTAATACAATTAAATGATACAATTTGGCCACGCTCCGATAAGTACGACCTGAGCCAGAACAGTACCGTTCCTCGAAACCCATAAACTTCAAGTTTGCGGAGCAGTATTCCATGATTTACGCAGTCGAATGCCTTTGGACACTATAATCACAGATGGAATTTCAGTTAGGAAAGGATTTGGGATAGAAAAACAAGAGTTATAGAAGAATTCACTTATTTGTTCAACTTGTTCAATTCAAAGGCACTTTTTCTGTAATATTGCAGAGAATACTTTAATTTCTTTACCAGCAGTAGATAAAAATACCACAAAGTTTCTGAATAGTCAGTAATGGATTCTCGAGACGTATTATTTGTAGATTATATTATAAGAAAGAAAAAGTTTAGGTTAAGAATGAACGAAATGTCGACTTTTAGAAAAGATGAAAACCAAGACAAATATATCTCAATTCCATACCACCAATATACGAAGAACTTTGGAAATATTTTCAAGGAACTAGGTGTGGAGTTGATATTAAAATAAGTCATACACTACAGAGCCTTCTAGATAATCCAAAGGACAAATTCGAGAGTTCGGAAAAAAGTCTGGAATTTACGAAATTAAATGTAAGGACTGCGATACAGAATATAATGGACATATTTAGCACACTTGAAATATGGAAGATCAGAAAAATCAGCAGTCGCCCATCATATTTTGCAACAAAACTATTCCATAGACTTCAGTTCATTATGATTAGGTAGACAAGTTAACAACAATAGGTATCTAGATGCCTATGAGAGTGTAGAAATGAGTAAACATAATAATATTATGAATAATGAAAGTGGACCAATACCTATAGTAGAGTATACAATGTACAGCTTGTTGAAATTCTATTTCATTATCAGATTTACCAGAATGTTGCCTAACATTTAAAAATGTTAGGCAACATGTAAAATCAATTTAAGACAATTAAGACACAGGTACCTAGCAGAAGTATCTAGGGATATCTAAGTATAAGGACAATACTGTATCTGAATTAGTTTAATCTTCCTCTTGAAGATGATCATTTGGTGATTGAAACACGTGTCGGGGTGTTAAAAATAACGGTTTGGTGTTGGGATTGAACTCCAGTAATATTCGCTTGATAAACGAAGGCGGAACATTTCCAGTTACCTGATATCTCCGACATCAAATGATTCGTGGATTCTACCGCCGTTCAAGGGCGTCGCCAGCTTATGACTAAGGGGGGGGGCAATGAGGAAATATTATGGGGTATAAAAAATATGAACGCCTGGTACAGTCGAAAGCATGAAACGTTACATTTTGGAAGTCTTCACCTCGATGACGATTGTAATAAGAACGGTTCTGATATCAATGTATAAAACTTCACAAGCCCTCGACAGCACAATAATTAAATCAAACTTTTGAACACAGTAGTTATTATTTATTTCAACAAAAATAATATTCAATTAAAATGTAACCTATGGGAATTTTTTGCAAAACTTTCAACTACTTCATCATTAAAATTATTTAGATTTCAATTTATTATAGCTCTGTGTACACTCATCATGGCCAGACCATTAAGGCCATCTTCTGCCATGGTGCTTCTCAGCCATGTTTTCAATCTTCTGAGGCTGCTAAAGGATCGCTCTACTGTACAGGTCGTTCATGGTAAAGCGATCAAAATTTTCGATGTTTTTCCATTTCGGGAAAGAAGAAATTTGTTTCTTTTAGGACATCGATAACTGTAAGAGTTGTTAGATTAAGCCTATCGTACCACAATTGCTGCCGAAGTTCGATTTCATTCTTTTTATTCGGTAAATCATAAAACTGGGCAATAGATTCAAGTTCGTTGCAGATTTTCAGTTGTCATCTTTTGCATATACGCAGGGTGTAACTCAGATAATGCGAATAATGACGTGTTTTCTTCAGCAAAGCGTACTTCAAGGGAGGTGATAATTGAATCAGAGTATGGTGTTACTAAAGACCTGTTCCAGTATTGTGAAGGGCTTTCTGTTGGATAATTGCTCCTATGACGTTGTTTCCCCGTAATACGCGGCATTGATGTAATGTCCTCCTCCAGTCCGACTTTCTCCGCAACAGCGGTAGCGGTTAATAACTTTTTCTTTAACNTCGAAACAAGCCGAGATATGTGGATATTCATCAGTCTCCTATCAAGGTTAATTCACGAATGTCAAAATCTTAATGTTATTCTGAATGTTTCAATACTTTCTACAATATACATCAAACCTTGTGAATTTATTTACGTTTTGTCATGCGATGCGAAATTTATTGATAGAAAGCCAATTGCTCGCACTTTGGTCGCTTTGCGGCTAGCTACATTTGATCTCTAGGGGGGGCAACTGTCCCCCCCGTCCCTCGTTGGCGACGCCTTTGCCGCCGTTGTATCGATTTGGTTTTGTGCTTCACTGGTTTCATCAATATTTTGTTCAACAGGATAATGGGCTATCAGAACAAGCTGCAGAAATTACATATTTCTTAT